ATTATTGAAAAATTAAGGTAGTTTGATCATTTACAACATTAAAGATATATTATGTGTTAGTTTCTGGTTTTTTTGTTTTTTCTTTAAATTTTTTAATAATAAAAAAAGTTTTCAATGTCAAGTTAGTGTCGTGGTAGTGGAACTATCACATGGCGTGTTATTGCCTTATAGTTAATTATTTGTTATTTTGGTTCAATTTAGTCATAATTTTTTTTTAGATGTAGTAGTTTTGTTTTTTTTTTAATTAGACAAAATTTAATTTTTATATAAATGTTATAATGATATTTTTATTAAATATTTTTAGAATTATTTTTATACTAACTCTAACTAAATTATTAAATTTACTTTTTTATTTTTGCTACATGTAATTTTTCATAATAGTTTCATTTTGTTGCAATGCTTATTATTAACAAACGTATATAGTTATAAAGAAGGAGTTAATAAAAGTATTTTTAACAATATTAAGTTTATTTAAATTTATAGTTTACATAAACTTTATTTTAATTTTGGTTTTAAAATTTTAAATTTACTTGTATTGATATTTTATTACATCATATTTTAATATTATTTTTTATTTGAATTTATATTTCAAATAATTGTATATAAATATATAAAAGAAAATTACCAGTATAAGATTTAATAATTTTTACACAAATGTTAGAGTTGATTTAAAAATAATTCCATAAATATTTAATAAATATGTAAATTTTAATAGAAATATTATGACTAAATTGAATAATATAATAAATATAAGAACTTAATTAAATATGGGATAATAACATATGACATTAACACTAACACGTGGTACTATCACATCACACTGTCATTGTAATGTGACATGAAGCTGATTTAATACATAGACATTTTTAAAAAAAATTTAAAAACATTAAAAAACAAAAAAATCATGAACTGACGTATGACATTTTTAAATTTGTTGGTATAGTATTAATAGAAAAAACCAAATTACATCAATTTTTCAAATTGAGACCTAATTAAAAAAAATTAGAAAACTAATTTGAGATTATTTCACAAAAAGGGGAACTACAGAATGTATTTAGACCTATTTTTTTCATATAAAAGATTAATTTAGTACAAAAAATCGCAATCTAAAAAATCAAACTGAACTAACCTTCGACTAACATGATAGAATTAAAAATATTAAATTCAAATTATACAAAATTGGTCAGGTTGGATCTAAATTCAATTCAAAGATTGATGTTCAGCTATAGTTAACACGGTTTGGAAGTGATGTGTGTCAAAATCTAAGTTTATCATGTGTCGAATTATTATAACTCAAAGTATATGTGACTCAATTTTTGATACGAGTGCACTTATTCATTGAAAGAGTGGAAGGCTTATATTAGCTTTACATAAACAAAAAAACACCTTAATAATAATATAAGAACAATTAATGCAACTATCATATAGTAATAGAATAATCCTTTTAAATAGGGACTTTATTATCTAGATTTGATTAACAATAGTCTGCCATATACTATCGTGTAATTTTTTTATTTTAACATGTGTGATACCTTCAAAGTAGAAAATGACCAAGATTTTAACATATAATAAATTAAGATTTTAACATATAACACTTCTAAACAACCTTAACGTCACGAACCATGTTATATATAATTTTTATTTATTTACAAAAATAAAAACTTGAATATTTTTAATATTGAACAAAAAGAAAAATATAAAGACTATAACCAATAAAAAAAGCCACCAAACTAATAATTAAACCTTAACTATTATATTTTCCTGAAAGCTAGAACCTTCTTCACTTATATATTTTAATTTCATTAATATTTGCTAATCGTTACCTGTTAATTAAATAGTTTTAAGGAAATATTATTCAATGGGCATCGCACATTGTTAAAATGACATGACATTTAAAAAACTTGCTAAAAATATTATATAGAAGGGAAGTTGTTCTATTTTTTACGGCGAATATGAATGTTCCGCGGCGTTATCAAAGATTTGGTAAGATATATACGTTGAAGATGTGAAGAGTTAATTAAAAGTGTTTTGAAATGGTTGATATAAATAATGAGATTTTGACGAATAGCCACGTTTATTCCAAAACTTGTGATTGCTAAAGCAGAAATTGTGTGTTCTATTCAACTGTAGGCAAGGGCTTGTCGTCTGTCAATTCCAATTCATATCACATCATAAAAAAGTGTCATATTATTGCCACACTCACATATTACATTTGTAGTGAATAAACAATTTAGAAAATGATAGGGACTGTATTTAATTATTACCAACAAAATAGGTTCTATAACAAGGAAATGACTTATGAGTTCAGTATTTTCTCACTCGTGTTGTTTAAAATTTAGTGTTTCTTTTAGGATAATTATTATTTCTTTTCTTAAAAAATGTTTAAATTGTACTACTTTTATGTTTTATTTAAACGTATTTTTTTTTCCTAAATAGCAATCTTCTATGACTCTTATGAATTTATACTACAATTTAAAATGGATAATGCAACTGTTCAAATCATCATCATTTCCATTATCAATCAATAAATTGATGGTTTGAATAGTATTAAATTCAATCTGTTTAACTAAAACTTCAGATTTTTGAATTAAATAACTACGATAAAATTTCTTTAAAAGTTGTTGGCTATATTCTTCAACAAAATTTATGTCGTAGAAAACCAACTTGAAAGTACTAATAATATTTTTTTTTATATTATTAAATTGTAAATTATTACATTATAAAAAAATTAAACCACAGTTTTGAAAACTTTAACCTTTTATTGTTGTATGAATACGTCATAGAATAATAATGCAAGAACCTAGTAATAATATGTACATATGTATATGTATCTTTACATAAACTTATATTAATTTACATTCAAATATTGCTTTTGTATTTTGGTATTATCTGACAGGTAGTGTATTATTACATTGTATCACACTAAACTTTGAATGAATCTCAACTCAATAGTTAAAACAAAAGTATGCTTTGTGTTATGGATCGTTACGTGGAAAATTCTTCAAAGAATCTAACTTGAATGAATTTATTAATAATGAAAAGATAACTTCCCCAAGTTCTTTATCTCATCAAAGAGATAACTTTCTTTTATGATGCATATCCCAATCATTCTTGGTTCTCAAGTATAAATGGAGTTGACCCCAAGCAACAACATCATCTAACATTAATATTTTTACCTAGACACAGACATCCTTTACAGGTATACTCTCCACTCAAGTTGTCTTGAAATTTTTTTAAGAAGGCTTGTAGCTTGAGATCCAAGATTCACATCCACATTTTTTTAACACTCTCGATTGTAAAATGAAATGATTTGTAAATTAATAAAAACAATCACATCAGGTCGTTCTCTGCATATTTATATAAAAATTGGACATGTAAACCTTAAGGAACCTGAAGTCGCACCCTTTGTGATGTGATGGGATGTTTGCTCTTATAGTTGGTCTGATTGGTTTTGTTTTGTGAAATTCCAAATTTTTGGTGTGTGAGATTTTCAGTGTAATCCCCATAATCTGTTGATTGTTAAAATAGGTAAGTCAGAAAGGACGCTCCACCTAATTGTGCAGCACTGAGACGTAGACATGGAAGAGGGGAGAATGCATGTTAATGATGGGAATGGCAGTGCAATGGCACGCCACAGAAGCATCAGAAAAGATACCTGCAGCAGCAAGTGGTGGAATCTTCTTCCATTTGATACGTACCATATATGGTGGGGAAAAGCCATCAAAGAAGTGGGTCTAGATGTAGAAAATTAGGACACCAAGCCATGACGAATGGCTTCTCATTTCTGACCTTTAGATTGAACATTTTGTTGCCAAATGAAAAGTAGTTGTCATGTGTCAAACGGGCACGAATATAGTTGCATGTAACATGCATCCATTTACATTCTCAAAAGCCAAAACCAATGGGAACCCTCCATTTGAAATTTTAATAGGCATAGGCGGTGATGGCGGTGGGACAAGAATATGATAGGATAGGTACGTAGTTTCTACACCTAGGGAACTGAGTAGGGAAGAAGTAACAGATTTGACTCACAGTGGAGCCAACTTCTGTTGCCACAAGAATAATGGCATGCAGAAGTCACTCATAGATTGGACGGCTTCCAATAATTTCTAAGTGCCTCAAACAATCTAAATGGAGCAATTTTAATATTATCAGTGTGTCAATACCTAAATAGTAAGCAAAGATTAACTATTCTTATATTGTTTGGTCTGTCCCAAAGGCCAAAAGGCATCCCTGTTTTCATATTATCAGTGGGTGGGGAATGATTCTGCATGATCAAACCACTACTTTATTTCAGTGACGGTTATTGCACAGCACAACTCTTGCCATTTACGTCAAGTTGAATTACTGTGCAAATAGATCCAAGTGTAAATTCACATGATAATAGTAAAAAAATGGCTGTTAGTGACATAATTATTTATTGATGTAATGTACTGTATGTCACCTGGCTTGGTTTGAGTTGAGATAGAATCGCACTTATTTATAACTGGGAATCAAACTTCTCTTCCTAATTAACTGAAGACACTGGCCCCATAGGCAAGTTTATGGCAACTGTGAATATTTAATTGTTTTAAAATCAATAGACGCACTTTACCATATAGTTTTAAAAATTAATGATAAAAATCATAATATAATGCATGCACATTTAAGAACAAAGCATGCATGTATGTACATCAATATTTAGTTAAAATCTCGCTCGTTAACCTTTTAATCTAGCACTAGTTTATCTTATGACATACCTTTCCCTCAATTCAGGAGTCAAATGTGAGCAAAACCTTCGACTGAAAAAAGTCGATAAAAGTAGCAAGGCTATACAGTAAAGAAAAACTCAATCTTTTTTAAATCAACAAAAACTGGATAAACTTTTTGTAAACAACATTAATTTTAAGAATTATTAAGGGAAAACAGGTCTACGCCATCATTTACCTTTGTTCATCATTCGAGTCGCAGATGAGACTAGATCTAAATAATACTCTGCAAAAATAAGAATAAGAGGCAAATGTAATGGCAAAAAAGACACTATCTCATAAGACTACCTGCATCCTCCATAAACCCACAGCAACCACTATCTCAACAACCCCCAACACTACCCAAAAAAATAAAACACTGACCAACAAAATAAGCTTAAGTTTCAATTTTTGGATAGATAAATAGAAACAAGGGATTCAGAATAACAAGTCAGTATACTTTCACTATCCTGTTTGCACTATCAGGCATCGATGTCATACTAAGAACTATCACGGGGGATCATCTAAATATCAGCCTCGTAAACAGAATACCAACCAACCTTAATAATGATTAATTGCAATTGTGTTTCCAAATAAACATCAGCGCTGCATAAGATGTTAATTATACGATATATAAATTCCTAACTTATACAATGAAAGCTACTTGCTGACAATTACATGTGATAGAAGTACCATACAACACAGCTAACAACTAATCCTCGCTAAATGGAAAATGACAATTTGATGAGTGTGTAACATCCAGGTCCCCCATTTTTTTTCTGCAAAAGAAAAAAGATGTTACACCAACTTTAGAACTTAATGTCTTCCTGGACTTTCCCTCCTTTTTCTTGCATCTTTCTCTTCTAGTCCTATTCTCATTCTGCACCGCTTGTTTACATAATTAAATATAAAAATCAAGGCCTAAGTTATTAATAATAATGACAATATGGTAGGTTTGTATGATATGAAAATCAAATGTAACAGCTCCGCAACCACGTCGATGAAATCCTCAGGCTTCCTTCGTAACTTCTCTTCCTCCCTAGCATTTTCATACCTGGAACAGTTACAGCAGCGATAAGAAATCAGACCCGTGATTTCTTTGGGGGCCACAACATGTGTTTTAAAAATTAGAATTTGTAAAACATTTTCCATGTCATCCAACTCTTCTGGGAGTAAAGTGACATCCACTTTATCTGACTTTAGAAATTAAGTAAATCAACCTGGAAAACATGAAACGTTGTTATGCTACAAATCAATATCATCACAAAAACCCCTACCCCATTTTCTCCCTAAAGAGAATATAGAGGAAACTCAAGCTTACTCTTTTGACCCTGACTTCTCCCAGGTGCCAGTGTTAACAATACAACTAGAGAAAAAGGGACACCAGAATTTGAGAATTTGTTAATGAACTGTTATAACAACCAGATTATTATAATAAAAATATTCTCAACATCTTCATAACAATTAGGAAAAATATCTTATTTATTTATTTCCTTAATTTCAAAGTTTTCATTATTACAAATAGAAGAAATGATAAAAATGTAATTGGTGAGATTGTTATCAATAAAATAATCCTTTATTTTCTTATATGGTTTAAAATGTTATAGCTCCCGATCTTTGAAGTATGTTTTCACTGTCTCGTTAATAGCTGCCACTGTTGTTTGCCATGGGCGTCATGGTAGGATAAAAAGGTGTGCTCCACTCATTGCGACCACATACAACGTCATTGGGACCTCCTGAGCCCATTCCAAGGGGCGGTGATGTCTCGTTTGACTTCTATTTCAGTACATTTGAATTCATTTGGTTCTTTCACCAAACAGGTTCCATTTGTTACGATAACAACTAAATCTTTATTCATTTTTTTTTCAATGTCTAATATAAAAAGCTTTTAAAGAGAAACTTGATTTTTTGAGAACAATGATTGAATCAATGATTAACGCTTTGTTCACTTGAATGGATTTGAGGGAGAGTGATTGAGGGGATTTGAAGGTAAATTGTTTTTTGTTTATTTGAGTGGATTTAGAGATAAATAAGAGTGAATTTGGAGATAAGTAAGAGTGAATTTGGAGATAAGTAAGAGTGAATTTGGAAGTACATTTTTTTAATCTGTCACATCAATCAAATTCTACATTAATTCTTATAAATTTTAATTTCAAATTCACTCTCACTTACCTCCAAATTCACTCAAATAAATAACAAAATTTTTTATCTTAAAATCCTCTCAAATCCCCTCAATCACTCTCTTCCAAATCCATCTAAATGAACGAAGCCTAAGTCTTCTTAATAGTATATTCAATACTATTGACCCCTTGTCTCAGGATGTTTGGATTCTTGATTCACAAACAACTAATGACTTGGCTCACTTTCTTAAGCTGCAAATGACTAGTGAACAACTCATAACAGCTGCAAATGGTGATAATGTACCTATATGCGGATCCGGAAATATAACTTTAGATGTTTTATCTCCCACTACTAACAGATAGGCGTATTTCTTACAAAGCTTACAAAAGATTTAAATTGCTCAACAACTTTTTTTCTCTCCTTATTATGCATTTCAAGAACTTGCCACAAGGAAGGCGATTTTAATTGCTAACGGGCAATGTGGGTTGTATTTGTTGGAAATAAATACCAAAACAAAACAAAACAAATGTCATAAACCAAAGCAATATCAAACACATGGGAAAGTTCCCAAGTATGGCTTCATCATAAAGAATTGGTTGGGAATCCCTCCTTCAACCTTATAAAATCCTTGTTCCCTCATTTGTTTTCTAAAGAGTTTGTTGTGTCTGTCAAATGTGATACTTGTCAATTGTTAAAGCATCACCATGCATCTTATCTCATCTCAAGTAAAAAGAGTAATTTTCTATTTGACTTGATTCACTCTCATGTTTGAACACCTGTTTTAGAATTTATTTTTGGAGCAAAATGGTTTGTTACTTCTAGTGATGTATCTCCATGTAACATATCCATATCACATGGAGATACATTACGAAAAGTAAATATAAGGCCTAGTTTGGTGAATTTTTTTCAGTTGTCCAAAATCAATTCAGAACAAACACCAAGGATTAACTGCCACATACCTTATCAATATGTTAAACACTCATATCTTAAAAAGGGTTAGTCCTATTGTTCTGTTTTTTTTTAATCTTTTGTTCCCTTTACTCCCTTAGTGTCAAAACTACCTTGTCGAGTCTTTGGTTCTATTTTTGTTCACTCTCATGATCTTAATCATAGAAAATTAAATACTAGAGCTTTTAAATGTGTATTTATTGCTTATCATTGTAATAAAAAAATGATAGAAATGTTATCACATTGAGAGTTGTTATATCTTCATTACCATGGATGTCACTTTTCATGAAACAAAGTCCTTTTTTGTATGTCCTACGCTTCATAGGAGCAAGAACTTGAAGCAAAAGACCTGTCCTTACTGTCATTATCATATTTATGTTGCAAGATGCTCAAGATCTAAGTGATGAAGCCACCACAAATGGGATTGGACCAGCTCACATGATGAGGAAGAAGACAAATTCTTTGTCACAAAATATCAAAGACAACCCACTTTGACTCAAAGCAAGAAGAGTTGTCTAACTCGAAAGTGAAGAGCCTTGAAGGTTATAGTGAGGAGACAAGATAATTGTTATTAAGAATTTACCCATTATATTGAGAATGGTAAAAATATAACGTGTTAAATATCCTATTTCTCAACATGTCAATGACAATCTTTCTAATAGATATTGAAGCTTTATTGTTGCCTAGATATACCTACCTCAGTCTGAGAAGTCATGAGAAGCGAACATTTGAAAGTGAACATTGGATATTTACACTTAAGCATAAGGTAGATGGATAAATGACAAGTATAAAGCTAGGTTGGTTGTAAATGGGTACACTCAAACTTATGAAATTGGCTGAGGAGACTTTTTTTGTTGTAGCAAAGATGAATACGATCTAGCAACTAATTTTGGACGGGACTTGCATCAGTTAGACGTGAAGAATGTCTTTCTCTATGGAGCTTTTGAAGAAGTGTATATTGATATTCTACTCTAATTTCAAACTCAGTGGAAGGAATAAGGAAAGCGTTCTAAAGAAAGCTTTATACAGTCTTAAACAATTTAAAATATCCAAGAGCGTGATTTGGAAATTTACAAAAGCAATGGTTTCCTTAGGTGATGAACAAAGCCAAGCAGATCATACTTTATTCTTAAAGCACACCATTACAAGTAAGCATACACAACTGCTAGTCTGAGTGGATGATATGATTATTGCAGGAGATGATAAAACAGAGAAATTGACTTCAAAAGAAACATTAGCAGCTCAAGTTGAAATGAAAGAAGTGAAAATTCCTCGAAATAGAGGTTGCTTATTCAAAATAGGGGGATTTTCATCTCCCAAAGAAAATATGTACTTGGTTTCCTTACAGAAACAAATAAGACAGAAGGTAGAACCTCAAGATTACAAAACAAAATCATAGAATTGGATAGCAAAAATGATCAGAGGGTGCTGAATAGCAAAAATGTGAAAAGGACACAGTGATTACTGGAGAAACAAAAATATGCACGGAGAGCACATCAAAATGTTTAGAGTGTGGTGGTTTCTAAGGAGCAAAAATGCTGAAAGAACATAACTGTCAAAGAGAAAAAATGGTTTTAGTGTTAAGAGCAAAAATTCTAAGAGAGTGCAGCAGCTATTGGAGGGTCCAGCAATTGCTATTGAGGAAAAATTACTTGGAGGGTGCAATGAACACCAGAGAGAAAAAAAGGATAGGAAGGCATGACAGTTGCTAGAAAGCACAAAGGCTTAAAGTGTGGTAAACACCTAAGAGAAAAAAATGCTCGGTATACATCGCTTGCCAAATGATACTAGTAGTGAGTGGTGGTGGCTAAGGATGAAAAAAGCTTGCCAGAAAGTTGCCAATGATGAATAATAGATTCAACTGTGGTGAATAGTGAAATACAGTAGAAAAATAACAAAAACCCTAAAACATACATGGTTTCTAAAATGTTTATACCTATGAGCACTGGGCCCACAGAGAAAACACAGATTAAGATTCCCTTTTTATTAGACTCTTGATACCATGTTGAAAACAGAGAAACCAAGAAGGTATATGATGAATTTTGTGTTTAGACCTCTGCGGAGCTATTCAATTATAGGAGAGAAACCATGATTACAAAATATTCAGTTACCCTATTTTAGCTTATAACATAAATATAGAATCAAATTCATTGATCCTCATACCAAGAGTTACTAGATTATAGAATTTTAACATATCTACAAGAGTCTAACAGAAAGTATATAATAAAACCTGATAATCAAATTCCATTTACTGCATTTTTGGTTGCATGCATTCCTTTTGCTTATGTTTCAACATTTTACTCTCTTCCTTCTCAATATAAGCGTGCATGAGAAAACAGAAGAAAACCTGACAGATAAGTAAGGAGTACAGTAATTTAGTAAAATCACTTAAATGCTTAAAAAGACAGAAACACGTACATTGCAAAGACAAAGTTTCATGTTATATCAAGTTCTTTTGAAAGAAACAGCAAAAACCAACAAAGCACGTGTAAGAAAAGTATGTAAAACACCAGTCAAAAAACTAATGGCATGTCAACTTTCAAATATAAACAAATTGCAGATGTTGAGCAGTACTAAAATGGATATAAATTTTGAATAAATAAATGTGCTTTGTAACAGATCAATAACACTAATCAAATTGGAAGCATCTGACAATCCAAACATGATTTGTTGTGGAACTCTATAAAACAAAAGTTACTGAAGTAGGTTCAGTGCCATTTAGAGTAAGGGTTGTCAATTGAGTCATCACTCTTCTCTTACCCACTAGCAAGCATGCACAACACTACAAAAAAACAGTCAACGGAGTTGGGTGAGAAGCAGGATGCTGCACCATGAGAATCCAGTGCAATTTAATACTGTGCATGTATATAACAGCCATATTATCATGCACTCAAGCCTTTATTTAGATGGTGTGATGGTAAGTGGGGGAGTGAGAAAATACAAAAGAAGAGAAATTAAAGGAGGGTGAGATTGTTTGGATTAAAAGAACTAGAGTGAAAAGAGAAAATAAATGAATGACATTTTTATTTGTTTGAGAAGATGAGAAAAGAAAGAAATGTTGGAATTGTTATGGAATGACTTTTATATACTCCTTGTTCATATAATATTTTAATATTGAAAATCAAATGAGGAAATGCATGATGGCTTCCGAGAAGTAAATTATTTGTACATTGATCAACATTGCAAAATCCGTTATGGTTTGTCCATAATCAATTATGCACCCTTGAGTAACAGTCGTTCTTGTAAATACGAGCCCACAATCAATTATGACACATGCATATTTGATTACGTTAGATCCCCATAATAGATTAGCCTTCCTATTCTACATAATCGAATATGCTGAAGACATAATTGATTATGCGGAGCCTCTCAGCCACCCCACGCATTGCCATAGTTCTAGCACTTTTATGTCCACGAACCTTACTTTTGAAATTCTGAATCACCAACATGACAAGGAAAACTAAAATGCCAATGCCCCCTCTCTTCTGTCAAAGCCCATACAAGGTAATGTGGACATTTTTGCACAGCCAACATGACTTTCCCCTTTTTTTCTGACCATCTTTGTGAGGAAACTCAACCCTGGGGGACCAATATGTCAACCAAACTCAACCTTTCCCCTCAAATCCACTACTCATCTTCAACAATAAATGAAGTGATCCAAACAAAGGCTAAGATAGAAATCAACGAAATTTGAATCAAGGATGCTCATTGCCAAACACCTACATGGTGATTGACACAACCAGTCCCTGCAAGCATCACATACATGCATATAACAGAAATTTCATCAACATTATCTATTTATCTTTTTCACTCTATCCCTATATCCCACTTGCACACCACAACCATCGTGTATGCATACATCTTTAACAAATAATCATCAATTGTTGACTCACCAGCCAAAATTTTCTCTTTTGGCAGCAATGCCTACATACAGGTAGAGTATTTGGAAAAGATTTCAAGAAAACCAATAACTTTGGATCTGCTACAATGGTATCCCACACCACATCTTAAAATTGAAAAAAATAGTGTTACAAGCGTTTGCATAATAGCATAGGGCCAAAGTAGAAAGTTTGGAGTGCTAAACAGTGTATTCCAACCTCAAGAACATCAGATCAGGAGAAAACCTGTTTCAGTTCAGTAATCTCTATCTGGCATTGAAGTTTAACACAAAAATTAAACTTTTAGCAAATTATGGAGAGAAATCTAGTGGTCAAATTAAACAAACAAAACAAATAAATAAATATGCTACAAATCACTATACCCTCTCTTCTTGTTTGAGATGCCTGTCGTTTTTCTCAAGATCTCTTCCTTCCTCTTCAGAATCAGAGTCTGCTTTCTTATTGGTAGTTGCATTTTGAATAGACTCGTGCTTCTTATCAATATACTGGTTACATCCAAGTAAGCAATTCATCAAGAAATACATGAAGATGCAAGGCACATATAAATCATTGACACAATACCTCTGAACATATAATATCGCGAAAACTAATGTTCCCGAACATTTTTTAAGATTTCTTCCTCCAAGCTATATCATTTGGCTCTTCCCTGTCCTGAATTTCAACTTGGTATACAACCTAAAATTTAAGAGAATGGAAGCATTAAACGGGCATTACCATCATTTGTCCATTAACACCATTGCAATTGAAACCATTAGAATGCTTCACTTTCTATTAAACGAAATATAGATCTGACATAACCATCTGTACAATTTCCAAAACACTCAAAAACAGCTTAGAATGAAAAGCCTCAAGGAATTTTCCAAAAATAGACAGATATGATATTTAACAAACATCTATGATAGTAATCAACCTATAGCTTCTTAGTCTGCACTATAACTTTTTTGGATAAACTTTTACGTAAACACTTCAAAAAGATGAAAATAAGAAAAAAGAATTAGTGAAATTAACTTTTCCATAAACTAATATATATATATATATATATATATATATATATATATATATATGTATGTATGTATATATGTATGTATATATCTTTCTTCCTATTTTTCTTATTCTATAGGAAGAAGTTATCTAGACATGTCCTAATTTTAATATTTGCAGAGAGGTCAAAACCCAATTCCTATAAGTAGGAGACGACGTCCTAAACTAATAATTAGTAGACAAATTTCTCCTTGCCTAAATTAAACAACTTAATATTTTTTCTTAGAGAAAAGAATTTTAGGGGGAAGAGATGACTCCCCAGTGTTAGGGAAAGAGCCTTCGGCTCAAGTATCGCTTAAAGAGGTACTCAACTCAGCCCCAAAGAGAATTTTCACTTTGCAATCGCAAATCCCAACCTTCGAATTGAACATTTGAACCTACACAACCGAACTCAGAAATGTTCAGTAAGATGGAATTGGAAAGGAAGGGAAAAGATCCACGTCACAGAGACCATTCTCCTTTCTCTCCCTTCCAATTCTCTTCCATCAAACTAATCTCATGCTTCTCTACCCCCACATTCTCAGATCCTTCACCCGAAAGATCTCACGTGCAAAACGAAAAAGCTCCGTCCAATTCCAGAAATCCTAACTTCACTGCAGCAATGTAAAACAAAAGCAAACATCTAATTTCGCAATCGGTTCCTATCCTTTCTACTGCTAGCGCCACTGTCAATTGTAAAGCTAACCAAACTATATAGAACCAGCAAAACGATGAGAACCTGCTGCGGATAGGTATTCCGCTTCCCGTTGCCACCGTCTTTGGCCATGCTCCTTCAGGCCTTGATATTGTGTTTCTTCTTCTTCCGTCGCCGGCGCTCTCTCTCCCGCACTTTTACATTGGCGGTGGCGAAGGATGAGAAATTGGCTATCGGCGTTCACTTTTACAACGCCGTTCCGATATGCTAACGTTTCCGCGGACATCATGAAGTATCAGCTGACTCAGTTTCAGAAGGGAAACAATCGTTAGTCACGGTTAAAGTAATTTACACTTTGACACAAGGTGGGCCCAACTATTGTTAATATCATAAAGGATAAATTTGTCATTTGCATGGTTGACTACTGCTGTTGCACTGTTTTGGAGGAGAATAAATGAAACTGTGTTTCGGTGCATCAGGTCCTCTCTCTAATTTCAATTTTTCAAAGGTTCTCTCTCATTTTGGAAGAACTCTTCATGCTAGGGTTAGGATTGAGAGAAGATGCGAGAAAAAATAAAAAATGAAGAACTCCATGACTGCCACTTAATCGAAGATTAGACGTGATAGGAAGAGTTCGAACCAGCAAAGTCTTCCATTTTGTGATTGCTATGACGTGGGAAGCTTTTATGGTAATTCTATGTCTTTTTATTCTGATTTAGAATAAATTTGTGTCTTACTAATTTTCGTGTTTCCATCATGTTTGATGATATGAATTGTTTTATTGGAAATTAATTATTCCCCAACTGGTTGTTAATTGCAAAATTCAATATAGAAAATAACATTTTTGTGTGATTGATTATTCTTACGGAGTTAAACCACACATCATAAGCACACCATTTTTTCTTGAATGAAGCTACTCTAACAACCAACAACAATGTCATCATACGACTTCTTCAGCTGCATCTATAGAAAGAGAAGCATTAGCAACTTTATTTTAAAAACCTTAAGTCCAAATTATGTTGAGTAAGATTTAAAAAATGAGAGAGACAGAGTGTTTCATTTTCTGTGTTCTGAAGAAATAAAATAAACAAATCACGGAAGAAAACAGAACAACAAACAAATTGGCCTAGTGATATCTTGTATAGTATGTTTAAAAAATACATTCAATATTCATAGACTGAGCAATAAATTCTGCCGAAGTAAGAGGAATCAATCTCATTTCATGCACAGACTTTTATATTTTCATATTCATCACATTTTTAAGATTTCGAAAGTAATAATCAATTTTCATTATATTAGCAAAATTATTAGTATATTAGCCCTAAACTTTTAAATACCGAAGTAGGCTCAAGAGTTGCATATTAATTGAGAAATTTATCAGGGGCCTTATATTAATATTTCCATTATTTTGAAATAACTATTATTCTAATAATAGTAGCATCTTCACTCTTTTTATTATGCAAGGAATAAAGTATTTGAAATAATTCTTTTTATGAAAAATTGAAATAAACAAATAAGGAAAACTAACTAAACATTCTCTATTCGACCAAAATTTTTATGACTTGTTTGTAGATCATTATAAAGGCTTAACTATAAGACTTGACTATGTTTATAACTAAAGTAACAAATTTATAATTATAATCAATATAAACTATGTATATCTTTTTGTATTTTTAAAATTGCACTTTCCTTCATGTCAAGTTTTCACCCTCCACTTTCAACGTTATATGTGTCTAGAAAATAAAATGAATATTCCGAGTGATGTTCGAAAATGATAGTTTGAACGTTCAATGCAGAGACAAATCTATTTGGTAGAGTTTTGGGCACAAACTTGCTTTTTTTCTTATTGTAATGTTTATGTGTAAATACAAAAATGTCTTCATAACTTGAAACTCAGTATATAAAGTAAATCAACAATATGAGTGTTTCCCCAAAAATTTATATATCAGAATTTGTCACCAACATAAAACTTTTGAATATGCCATAAAAAGAAAAAAGAGCATAATTTTATATGGCAAATTTTGGAAATCAAGAGAATGAAATAAAAGTTAACCAATTAAAAATTAGTAGTGATATAATTTTGAAAACATGCTTGTATGTGTGAGTGATACTAAAATTGATTTTGGTTGTAATGTTTCTAATCTTTGTTTAATGCGTAGGCATGATTGTGTTGTGTTGGTGATTAAATATATGGAGTTATGGAACCACATACCTAAATATGATGAGAATAAAATGTCTGATTACACAACGTTTTGTATTATTTATGTATATGTTTATTTTAATATGATTTATGATAAGAGATTTTTAACTAATATTTGACAAGAGTAATATTATTGTAGGAACAATTACAAGTTCTTCGACAACAAATGGTTTGTGAGTGGGTCTTACACAAACAAAATCTTCATCGAAATACGATAATGAAGAAATGTGGAATGTTATAAGCAACGATGAAGTAGGAGAACATGAACAAGTTCAATACATTCATTGAAGAAGGGAAAGAACTTGTAATAGCAGGTCAATATGACTTGATTGATGTACATATTGAACACAAAGTCCATGAAATATGATTAATTAGGATACAATTTTTGTTATTGGTTTTTAGGTTGTTTAGTATGTTTAATCAAGGACCACAAATTGTATTGGTTATGAGTAGCAGCATCAACGACACTTTATAGTTCGTGCATGGCTATAACGCAAAGTTTGTTCACTAGAATATATAGCTATGGTTATTGTACTATGTTTTCAATGAATGAAAATGTTTAAATGAGCAATGTGTATTTTGTTTTACATATATGTACAAGGTCATTATTGCTTTTTGTTTCAAGTAAATCTTTTAACAGATTCTTATTTTGAGTATGGTGAACAATTTTAATCAATGAACTTGCTATAGTTGTATGCGTACAAAACCACATATTGAACTTAAGCAGTTTTTAGTTGTACAAAACCAGTTTCAGAAATAACCACATAATAATGGGTACATAACCAGTTACTACAGCAATAAATTTGATGAAATGTAGCCTAAAGAACGACTACATTTGTTGTACATAACGACTTTCATATTAAATCACATACCCTTCATTATATAACCACTTACTACACCAAAGTAATATTGAACTAAAACAATTTTTAATTTGTACATAACTAGGTTAATAAATAACCTCATAAAACTTAAGACATAACCACTTATTGCACCAAAGTACTATGATCATTCATATTGAAGTTAACCATTTTTATTGTTGTACAGAATCCCTTTCACAAAAAACCACATAGGATTGAGTACATAACTAGTTATTGCACCAATAAATGTGATGAAATCTATCGTCAAGAACCACAACATTTGTTGTACATAACCAAGGTAGTAAATAACCACATAAGACTGACTATATAACCACTATTGCACCAAAGTAATGTCATTATTGGTATTGAAGTTAACCGCTTTTATTGTTGTATAGAATCGTACTCAGAAATAACCACATAGGAATGATACATAACCACTTACTGCATTAATAAATGTGATGAAATGTATCCTGAACAACTACGTGATTTGTTTTACATAAGGAGTACTTTTCCAGACCACAAATTCTTTATCATACAATCACTTACTAGACTAAGTAATATGATCCTTCATATTGTGCTTAAGCATTGTTGAAGTTGTACATAACGAGCTTCAGAAATAACCACATAGGACTGAGTACATAACCAGTTACTGCACCAATAAATGTGATGAAATCTATCCTAAAAAACTACTAGATTTGTTTTACACTACGAGTTTGATAGCAGACCACAAACCATTGATTAGATAACCACTTACTAGACTATTTAATATGATCCTTCATATTCAACTTAAGCATTTTTGTAAATGTACATAACCAGCTTAAAAAATAATCAAATAGGATTGAGCATATAACTAGTTACTGCACCAATAAATGTGATGAAATCTATTATAAAGAACTACTACATTTGTTTTATATAACGAATTTCATACTACACAACATACCTTTCATTGAATAAGCACTTACTGCACGAAAGTAATATGATCATTCATATTAACTTAAGATTTTTTTTTTATTTGTACATAACTACCTTAACAAATAACCACATAACACTTAAGACATAACTAGTTATTGGACCAATACTTGTGAAATTAGTTTTTGAGTCACTTGTGCCATCTGTCTTTGATTTTTGCAGGGTGCTCATAATTATTTGCTTTAATCATTCTACTTGGTTGTGCTATGGTTTAAGAGTTATTCAACTACAAGATTGGATGATAATTTATTTTGTTATTAATCTTTTCGTCAGTTGTATATAACCAATTTAGTATTTAATCACATAATGTTGAAGGTATAACTAGTTACTACACCAATTTGTCAATTTTTTTTATGAGAGCAACATGATATAAAACTTAGAACATAACATACATTACATTACCACTTAATGCAACAACACATCCATGAAGTTGACTTTAATACTTAACAAATTTTACTACAAAACACATCCATGTAAAGACGCACAATATTTGAAACTGAAAATAATGATAAATCTTAAATTCAAATCAGCAAATTATGAAAGTCCTCAATTAATGTTTTTGTTTGATCCACCACTGCCTTCAAGTTTGTCAGTGTGAACAGGTGGAATCAATTTGCTAAGGATGTCATGAACGAAACATGTTGGAGGCTTATTGGTAACAATTGGTATTGATAGACGTACTAGGTCATTAGTTGGACAACCAATATCACTTGCAAACACCTACACATGCCAAGACTGTCATTGAAAGTGCTAAAAAAAGTTATGAAATTCAAAAACACCATAATACAAAACAGTTGTAAACTTTACCTTGACAATATTGTTAAGATACTATGTTCCACATATTGGTGAAAAAATTGCAACTTGTTCAGACATTATTGCTTTACTCCATATATTGATGTGGAAATATAAGGTCAATAACTAAGTATTTATCATAAATAATATACTTACATCTTTTAAGATTATCACACTTCCAAGTTTTAAGTGTGGACCTATTTCAGGATGATCAATAGTCTTGTGGTGAACGTTTGCTTTTACAGTCCCTGTTGAATCTTGTAAAGAGATACATTTTCCACAAAAAGAGTTAAAGATGGTAGTCAAAGTAACTTAACATTTCACTAAACACATTAACAATATACATCAACCAACTCGAATTCTTATTTTCATGTCACTCAGTCCATTATGTTCACAAGCTTTAAAAAAAAGGACACCTTATAAGTTCCTTTCAACGAATCAAGGGTTGACATATGTTCAACCTCATGTTTAACCAACAATCTTGCAAATCAAATTATTATTTCCACAATGTTCCTTAAATCACAAATTTTGGATGTCTATGAAGATGAATTCCCAATTAGTGTACTTACCATGGATGTTAATGAATTTTTCAGCTCATACCCAAGTATTGGATGTGAAGTCACAATCAAAACTCGTTTTTGCTATGTCACTCAAAAATTCTTGTGTGGGAATGTTTTCATTTAGCTCTCGGTTTACCATAACTGCCTCAATGACACCAGTCGGGCCCAGAATGACATTGTTATTCGAATTGCAACGACGAATAAAAC